AAAAGAAAAATCAGAAGGCCTGGGGATACTAAGATATGATTAAAAGACATGAGAGAATCCATTTCCAGGCTTTGACAACTGCAACCTGGACAGGTGAAGCCTCCTAGAGGCTGACTCACCGAGACCAGAGAAGACCAGTGAAAGCAAGACTTCGGTCCCTGCAAGAAGAACTTCCTAATAATTACTGCTATTTAAAAAAATGAGTGGCCGCCATTTTGAGGCCGTGGACTCTCCATTACCGAGAGTATCTCAGCGAAGGCTCACTGGAAATTGGATTGTACCTTGCGTTTCCTGGATTGAGTGAGACCAGATCAGAGAAAACCTAAAAACCCTTGAAACAGTATGATTTATCACGGGAGCGATTTTCTTTTTTAAAAAGGTGGGAAATGCAACATTAAAGTGGAGATGTTCCTCCTGTTCCGTGTGAGAACCAAAAGGGTAATTCGATTCAGGGCTCCTCGGTATCAGTCAATGCCATGGACGCAGGCTAGATATGAATTAGAAGAATGTCACTGCACACTACACATCCCATCGCGAATGTTAGTGTAATATCCTGTTTTAGGATGGCGTATTCATTTTAATTTTAATGTTTAGAAAGGTAATTACGAGCCCTCTTTTATATTGTTTTTCAAGTTAACTCTTTGTGCCAGGGTTGTAAATCACAGTAATATAAAATGATAATAAAGTAGATGTAATTTGTAAGAAAAAGGCAGCAATTTGTCTGCATAAATTTGAGAAACTATGCTTGGGAAAAGTTGAATACTAATGCAGGGCAATTGTGGCTTTACTGATCATTTGTCAGTGGCAGTGTCTGGGGTGGTAAAATTAAAGGTAAATATCTATCCACTTGAATTTAATATAGTTTGTAAGTCTTAATGCTCCCAGATCATGATATTTTCCAAGCTGCTGTTATTTAAAACGACTCTGACAAAAGATATACCTATTGGTAGCCACTATATGATTTCCGTTATATTCTAAAATGTGAATATTGTGATCTTTTGATAAAAGATCCTTATTCTAGGGCTTTCCAAAACTTTCTGGAACTTTGGTAAAG